TTGTACATATCTCATCTCATGTCTATATTAGGGAAAATGCTCCTACATAAGGCAGCTTTCTTCATCAAACTATGCAGAAGATCCTCCTTTAATAAGCTTCTTGTTAAGGCAACAGCTGAGATAACTGCCTGCCCTGGGAAGATGCCCTGCTCTGTGACTGAGGAATAGGGTTGGTAACCTACACTGAGTAGAATGCTCTGTGACCAGGAATAGGGTTGGTAACCTACACTGAGCACCACGAATGCCACCTCTTCTCAACTGCACCTCTTCAAGAGCAGGGCATCCCAGAAAGCAAAGAGAAGAGGAAGAACAGCATGTAGTTTTAGACCTACCTAATACAGGCACTGAACACTCGGGTAGTCATGGAGGATGCAGGTTGCAGACATGTGCAGTTTCTCTCTCCTGTCCTCATTCACTTCTGCATTCCAGGGTATAGAAGAACAACTGAAGAAGAGAAAGCACGATACCACGCGGGTGAGCGGCGGAGCGGTTGTGCAGGCCATTCTCCGAACAGATGAAGGATGGGCTGCAGCCTCCGATTCCCGGAAAGGTGGCTTCCCTGCAGGCTACTGACGTGGCTCGGCTCCTTTTTTCAGTGGTCTAGTGACACTGAGGTGTGTTTGGGGGGAAGATCCTTTAGGTCTGCAACTCAGGGACTTCTCACAGGAAAGAGAACGAATTTACCTGTGGTTCTGTTGACAGAGCTGGGTCAGTTCTCTACAGCCATGACCGCAGTGCCTCATGCCACAGCAGTCTGCTAAGACAGGCACGTCCACCAGGACATGCAGTACTTACTTGAAGAGTCTGTTCTGCCTTGAAGAGTTTGTTCCCTGCCTCCTCTCCATCCCATGAACACAGATGGGGTATCCAGAGTTTCTGAAGAAGGCCCAGCTCACTCAAGCTGCAGGAATTGTTTCCCCTGCACAATGTCAGCTACCAGGAATGTCCCTGTCGCTGCTAGAGAAGAGATTTGTTTCCTGTTGAGTAGATGGGTGTTATGGGACTCTGGGGACTGGGTTTTCTAAGTTACAAACTAGTAGATCTGTGCCATAGCAGGAAGCCCAGCTCTAGACTGGGATAAGCCTTCACAAACTTACCACTCTTCCTTTTAACAACGTATGTTTCTGCTTTTCACTTCAGTTGATTATTGGAGATGAGTGGGTAAATAGGGAAATGGCTTCAAACTTTTTTATATTTCTGTTGAGAAGGTCTAAAGGGAAGATTCTACCTGTAAAACTCTGAGCACAACTAAAATAAATAAATATGGAGTCACACGTTTTTCTTGTCTGCACCGTTGCTACTGCAAAAAGGGATGGTGAGAGTCTGCTCAAAAGAAGTTCTCCTGAGATTTTCACTTTTCTTTACTCCTTTGATAAAGCTATGAGTAAAAGAAAAATAGTTAAATATCTAAAGCAAGGTTTTTTTTCTCCAGTTTACTTTTTACCACATCATACTGTAGGCCTGAAATACCAGTCTGAGGAAATGAAACCTCTAAAAAAGGGCTGCAGCTACTCTCCTTTGAAGGTAAGTTACCATTAATCAAACAATTAATAACCTCTCAGAAATCTGTACTGATATGGAACAGCTCAGAGCCTCTGTACCTATGCATGAGAGGGGTTTGGTGTTTACCTACCAGAATGGATTAATACATCACATCAGATAAATTTGGCCTAAGATCAAAACCGAATGTTCCAGGATGTTGTCAAGTTCTAGGGATGTTTATAAAATCCTTGAAACACAAGTAACAGTAACTGAACTCATCTATTTGGCTTGTTGAAACTTCCTGTCAGTTTGCAAGAATCTTAAATTGCAGAATGCATTGAAAAGAAAATTGAAAGGCTGTAGTTCTAGGCATTGGGCACCCTCTCTTTCCCAGCAGTTTCTGGAATTGAGGAGAGTGTAGTGTCAAGGAATAAAGTGATAGCTAGATCATGCTTAAAACAGAGTCACAACTTTGACATAAATATTTGTTTGTATCACTTCCACAAAATGAGTGGCTTTTACCAAAAGCCTGGGATGTGCTCTGTGCTCTTTTTTTTCAAAGCTGGTACTGATGATGTGTCAAGTGTAGCCAAGGTAGACCCTGTAAATAACCTAGAGTCATTGCGTTCCTTTAAGAGTGAGATTGGTTTGGGCCCAAACATTTATCCTTTTATCGATGAACTGAGACTTTGACTTTTCTACTCCTTATAATTCCACAATAGATGCCAACCAGTGGCAGGCTGCTGTTTAAATCCAGTTTGCAGGCCGTTTTAGGAGGCTTTGATACACGTTTGTGCATGGAGCTTCAGCTGCTATTTGTTGGAAGTACCTGGCCCTTTGGACTTCAGACTAGCTGAGCTCTTTCTTGGCCACGTGTGCCCTGAGAAATAAGCAAGCACAGCAAAATAAGCTTACTGAAATGTTACAGTCACTATAGTTAGCCTAAACTACAACAGAAAGAGCCTGTGTTCTGAAACTGGAAGGTAACTCTTCTGGGAAATCACTGCTGGTCAAACATGCTTTCTGAAACAAGTCTGAGTAACTGCTTCTGGGCTGCTTCTAACAGTTCGTGATACAGCAGTCTTCCTTACATTCCTGAATTTCTTCTAGCTAGTCAGAAAACTCCCCTATTATTTATAGCCTACGTTATAAAACTTCCCTTATGGAAAACTCAGATTTTTCCATGGCTAAAGACACTTCTGCTGAAAACTATTCTTACAAATGTGTTTGAATCCTTGGCTCTCTGCAGAAATGGATTTGTTTGTTTTAGCAGTATCACTACAGAGGACTGCTTCTTTAAAACTAACCTGGGCTAAGGCTTGCACTTCACATGCCACATTTTTTAAAAAAACAGCCTATGGATACTTCTGCATGCTGTAATTACCTACACCTCATTTGGACGTATCTGTACATAGGACATGCACTTCTGCTTTGATACCACATTCCACTACTCACACTCCACTGAGGCTGTCTGTGTATCAGTACGCAAATCTCAGTCAGTGGTTCCTACTGTAAAACCTCCTGATTGTACACTGTGGGCCATTCAGCTCATCTGAATGTTTCAGCTACAAGAAAAGACTTCTTCCTGCTCATGTCCCACCCCTTTGAATGCAACAACCTCCCACTCTGCTTCTGAGCAGAGACACAATGTCCCTGACACAATGCAGGGCACGGAGAACAGGACGCGTCACCGTGACTGATTCCAGGTGATTTGAAAGGCAGCTGTACTGTTAACAGGCAATTTGGATCACGAACTGGGGGGTTCACCTCTTTTCCCTGTTCTTCCGACTAACATTGCCACAGTTTTCTTTTGGCAACCATCCAGCCTCTAGAAAGGCTACAGGGAAGTGCCAAAACCAAGCTGTGAGAGACAAGTGGCATCTGCAGTCTTCAGTGCAGCTCCTCAGTTTCTCCAGCAGCGCACCGAGTCTCAGAACGAGCAGCTGTTACTGCTGGAAATACCTGCGTGAAAGTCCTCTGCAAACAACTGCTTGTGTGTTAGGCTAGGCAACAGTTTTAGAGGAGAAATTCCCAGACAGCTTTAAAAACACTTTATTAAAAATATAATTTAAAGACTTCATTAGAAAATAGAGCAGCCTCTATACAGTGATGCTGTACAAGTCCATGTAAGTTGACTAAGTACAAAAATAATGCTCTCCTGTTGGCATGAGCATGAACCGGGAGACCGAACTGGGAGGCTTTTGACCCAAGCAAATTACAGCAGCAGTGAGGAGGCGGCAGGGCAAGATCAGAGGTGCTAAAGGGAGGTAGAATCCCTCAGCTTCACCAGGTGTTTTGCTAGTGACGACTAAAGGACTGGAAGTCTCTGCTGCAGTGAGAGATCTGCACCCTCATTCCTTTCTGTCTTGTAAGTTAAAGCTGTGATGGGTTTTTAAACTGATTAATTGGCTCAGTTTCAATGTTAGTAGCAAAGTAGGTAAATTGAAGTGAGGGCTGGACTACAGAAAATTTTCCCATGTCTTTGTGGTGGGAAGTAGCTGTGATATACTGCACTGGAAAGGCAATAGGCTGGATTACTGAGGTGTGCTTCACCCTAAGGTATGTCAGAAGTAAAGGTAATTGGAGGCTTGGTTACTTGGTGACTTGTTTTTTGTGCTAGCAAAACATAGTGGCTGAAGGCTGCCCTGAAGCCCAATAGGGAAGCAAGAACTGCTCCCCCATCTCCAGCCAGTACTGTCCTAGATTGCTTTTTGTAAACTCTAAGCTCAGCTGGGCTAGCTCGAAATAACTATAGATCTTGCTAAAGCCAGCATCCGCTCTAGTTAGTCTGTCTGGTCCTGAAATGTGAGCCGCAGATGGTGTCTGGTGCTTCCCCTGTGACAACTCTGCAGTTGGGGTGTTATTTCTGATGTTAGAACCAGTGCACCCCAAAACTGGTAGCTGAGGTAAAGGGAGTTAATGAAAGTAGAACACTTCAGGATATGTAGATTGAATATGACGACCAAAAAACCCCGATGTAACCCCTTCCAAATGAACATAAATACTGCCCCCTCTCAAACTCTGAGCCTATTCCCTTTGTCTCTTCACATTCAGCAGTACTGTAATGCTGTCTAACAGAGTGCTGTGCTACTTCTATGGCTTGAATAAGCAGCTTTAATAGAGAAACCAGCAGTCCTTCCCGAACTAGGGGATTTAAGATAAATTCCACATAAACAAGGAAGGAGGTGGGCAGTGCATGGAGCTGGCTGTATACATAAGTAACCTGGCTTGCCAGATGCATGATTAAGTACTTGTGGTTATGATCTGTTAACTTAGGAATACTTTTTCATTAAACTCTGATCCAGCTGCAGTCATACTATAGTCCCTAGTGTACAGTTTCTGAAGGAAAACACATGTCTGGCTCTGGTCAGCTTCACTCAGACCATCATTAAAATGCGAGTGAAGCCTGAGATTTCAACCAGTGTCTTCATTCAGCAGACTTCGTGGATAAGAACACAGATTTAAAACCTATCTGGCCCTGTTTTCAAGTGTGTGTGTGTGTGGATGGCCTTGTTTTGGTTTGTTGTTTTAATAGCATGTGCACAAATACTTGTTATGGTGTTTACAGAAGGGTTTTATTTGTGTACTAGGAATATCATGAGCTGTGTGTGAGGCAAGAACTAACATGGTAGGGGAGGGCTCTGTTGGTGCCTTGCTCTGGTTTGGCCTTACATTCAGAAACACACAATACTGTCTGTGCCTGTAGGAAAGTACAGCTCATAAGCCTTCAGAAAATTGAGTTGTTGAGGGTTGTGGGAACTTGCCCCTGAGTATCTGAGCAGAGCTTTGGCTTGTTTTGTTTTGTTTGTTTTTTCTTAAATTGATACTCTTGGCCAGTTTGAGCAGGGCAGGTTATGGAACAACTGCAAAAGACATTCTGTGTCCAGGTGCATGAGTTCAGGTCTCTCCTCCAGAAGTTTTCTCTCTCTGTGATAGTTCCTAAGTAGTCCTAGAATTTCTTCCTTGTGATCTTAGGGAAACACTAGAGATGAGTTGTGGTAAACAGGGAATTGGAACATGTCCTTGGGTTATGGGAGAAAAGTGTTCTGTTAATGTCTGATAGCACTGCATCATTTCTCAGCAGTTCTGGTGTTTGCCTGGCCAGGCTGAGCTCGTGGCTACAAACGAAGTCTTCTGATCACGTATCCTTTTGTAGAAGAATATATATTTTGAAGAAAGTTATAAAGCTTCCAAAACCAACAGCTCTTCCACTGCGATCCTCACCTGCCTTCCCAAACAATTTATCTTCTGCCAGCATGGAAGAGGGAGAAGTGGCACAAACTGGGACTCCTCTTGCCATCAGGAGAGGTGCCTCCGGGGAACTGAGCTGAAGCCTGCCCATCCCAGGAGCAGGGAATTCACGTCACCCCATGGGAGGCTTATTCTCAGTCATCAGTGTGAAGGGTTGAAGGAAGCTTTGGCACAGTTACTCTGAGCTTTTGGGGTCCATTGCATCCCCAAGGCAGAGAGTAGTGGGGCAGCAGCTTGTGCTATGGTGTGTTGATTTCATCTGTAGCGTTTGGGAAAAGTATCCATTTCTCTGAATGGGAAAACCAAGAGGAGGAGTGTGGAGTTTTGCTCTCTTCCCCTTCCAAACCCACCCTCTAAGCCTGGATGCTCAAGATTTTAAAATCCTGACCCTACAAACACTTCTTGTGATCCTCATAATCAAAATAGTTACTGATTCACATCCCTGAGTCCCAGTAATAATAAGCTTCTTGTGGCAACAGCCTGAAAGAAACCACTTCTACTCTTGAGACTCTCCAGCAGGAATGAAAGACACAGCTGGGTCATTTCACAGTGTCCACAGTGGGTTTTGGACCAATTTTCCTTTCCCACTTCATATTCTCGTATTGTGAATAGCTGATGTGCTCAAGAAATACATTTTTCCATATATCACATAAGTAATGGAGGGTGTAGCTCTAAACAAGGCTGGCTGACCTGTCCTTGTATTGCCTGAGGGTGACTTGCAGGCTACTGGAATTAGGTGTAATCACAAGTTTTGCCCATAGTCTAGGAGGCATCCTGATAGGAACAGGCAATATCGGCATGTCCAAGCCAAAGCATGTTCTAAATCTAGTTATCTCCTGTGGTTTTTGGGAGTTGTGATGGCACTTTCTGCTAATATCCAGCTGACTTGCCCAGCTTCCTTTTATCAGAGTAAGCAGAGATGCATTTTCCTTCCTTGGAAATACCCTGCACAACATTCATTGCAAAATTAGCTTTCTTTTCTTTATGTCCTCTTCCCAGCAGGCCGCTCCTAACCTCCTGTAGTGGGGAGAGAAGAGGACATGGAGTGAATGGGGCAGGGGCCTGAGGTCTGTAGTGGCAGGTGTGAAATGAAAGATGTGTATGTGGGGTCAGGCTGAGAAAGTGAGATTTAAGCAAGGAGGTTAGCTAGAAGCAAAATGCACATTATTCAGGATAGTTACAGAAGCAATCTTCTTCTCACCAAAAGAAGACAAGAATATCCAAGTGAGGCCACTCACCTCACTGAAATGTTCCTCAAACAGGATATTGTCATCTTCAGTATGCATGATGGGAGCTGAAATGGCATGTTCCAAGTCATAGCCAAACCACAGCTTGTTTATAATTGCCTGCAATGAAACGATTCCCACAATGACTCATTGGAGATACTGAATAAATACCTGGGTCACATGCTGCCATCCTCGACACTGGTGTAAAGCCAGACCAGTTCTACTGTAAATCCTGCCTGCAGGGTGGTGCAAACCTGGACTGTAAGAGAGGCTGCACTGAATCGGACCAGAAGTCCTACTAGCCTAATCTCTCGTCTTCATGGTGACAAACAGCAGATGCTCAGGGCAAGTATAAGAATAGGGTGAGCACATAATGATACTTCCCAGAATGCTTTCCCTGAGGCAAAGTGGTATCCTTGAAATCAACAGCTACTGATGGATCATATATCTTTCTACTGATGGTTGTTCTTTTTGGTTTTGGATCAGCATGGACTCCTTCCCATGCTTCTCTCCAGTTGAAGAAAGATGAAAGGGAAAAAAAACATCTTTTTTCCTGTTGTGGCCTTATCTGCTTTTACTTCTTGATTGCTGAACAAGATGTTTGTTAGACTTCATGCTACAGCAAGCTCTTTTTCATTAAAATTTGTGTGTATGTCTGGTGGTGGTTTCTTTCCATCACATAGCTTATCAGTTTATTTTTTGGGCAACAAGGTTTTGGGCAATGCCTCTCTTCCTAATAACTTCCTTAACTTGCTATTTAACTATTCTGACTTCTTCCCTTTCAAAAAAAGAATTGAGGTGGCTGCCACTTGCTCTGGCTTCCAACCTGAAGCCTTTTAGTGACTTCTAAATTGCAAATAAAATGAAGCACCAAGGAGTCAAGACTGAGGAGGGCTGAGTAGAAAGACAAAGTAGGACTATGGTGACTACTGTGGGTTTTCCAGCTCCTCCATTTCTGGTGCCTCCTCATGGAAGTACAGTTCAACAGCTGAAGCTGGCCCCTGCCCTTGCCACAGAAATGCCAGAGACAAGAAGTGAGGCTAGGCTGAGTCTGCAGCAGGCCCCCTTCACTGCTGCCTTCCACACAGCAGTACTAGCAGCAGGAAAGGAATTCCTTCTGTTGAGGACAGCGTGGGCTCCCCTTGCTCAGTGGCAGGCGTTACTGTGCGGTGCCTGTTCACTCACCATACTAGTAGCACTGATAATCCAGGCCCCGCCTGCTCCTCCGATCACCAGCATGTCTCCTGTCTTGGAGATGAGAATGGAAGGCACCATTGCTGAGGGAGGCTTCTCTCCTGGAGCAGAGGCAGAGTGTGATTCCTCCCATGTGGGTCTTACAGAGGTTGGAGGGACACACAAGTTTATCTACCTCACCCTTCCTGCATTCCCCATGGAATTCCTCAAGAAGCTCAAGTCTTCCAGAAAACTATCTTCCTCATGCTGAGACCCTACTTCACAAGGAACTGGACCTTTACAGCACAGGCTAACTAGGAAGCATCTCTTGGTGCAGGGCATCCTGCAAGTATCCAGGCCTTGCTGCAGCTCATTCAGCCCAGCCAAGGAGCCATTAGCAGCAATCCTGCCATCACAGTACTCTGTGCTCTCCCTTGGCAGACCCAAGGGAGAGTGCACCAGGAACAGCTTATTTCACAGAGCAATGTCTCTGCATCAACACTGCTGAGTTACAGAACTCTGTGTAAGCCTACAGCATTACTGATTGTGCAGCAACTATGTATGTTTCCATAGATAAGCCTAAAAAGTCCACAAGCTTGTCTTAGCAGTAGTTTCTTCACTTCTTCCCTCCCCTCCCCATCAATCAGTGATCAGCTTCTGCTTTTTTTTTTCTTTTTTTTTTTAATATCTGATTTCCCTGGTCAGAAACCAAAGCTCCCATGTTTCCACATAAGGGCATATGTGAGTAGACAAGCCACACTACAGGGCTTTATCCTCTGTTAGTCTAAACACAAGCTTGCTCTCACCCAGACCGAGGAAAGGAAAGAGTACCTGCAGTTTACAGCTAGTCCCTGCCCACGTGTACATGGCCTGCATATCCATCTCCTGGCCCTGTGTTTTATTTTGAGAGTAAGAATGCTCACCTGGTTTAATGCTTCTGTTTGCTATGCAGAAATCAGCAAGTTCATTATTTAAAATGATCCCGGTTTGGTTAGAATACACAAAGGAGCCAAACCTGCAGGGGAAGAAAGAAGTAGCCTTTCAGTGGCCAGTGCCCTCCTGCTGCAGATGCCATTAACAGAGCATGGCAACCTGTGGGTTTCCTCTGTCTCCTCCCAGCCCACAGCTGTCCCAGCTAGAGTCCAAAAGGTGTCTGTGAGCCAGAGACATGTTACCAGTTACCAGTGCATGTGGGGATTTGCCCAGCTCACAGAAACTCAGCAGAGCTCAGCAAGTTGTTGTATCTTCATGAATTGTGACGTTCCTTTGGGCTGATGCTCACATGAAGAACGCGTTCACGAGTAAGAGACTGCCTAAATCTGAAGCCCGAGGGCTTTGTATTTCTGGCAGACAGCCCTAGCAGGTACCCTGTGAACCTGATACGTGGCCTGTGTGACTCAGTTACCAACGCCTTGGCTACTCACGGGTAGTTGATGGTGCTGGTAGCAGACACAGCACTGCCATCTGCAGCGAGCACAGAGATGTGGCTTGTGCCCTTGCTTTTGTATCTGTTGTAGAGGGACTCGAACAAGTTGTAATGGTTGAGTGGGTGGTCACCACGGTTATCTATTCGGCTTCTGACTAGCTCAGCAATCTCATCAGACAGAATGGTCCCCACCGCCACCTGCAGTCACAGCAAGGACATTGAGCTTGTGTCACCAAAGCACAGGCACGTCTGTCTGCAGGCACAGGGAAGTCTGGGGGATTCAGCCCCAACAGTCAGAGCCTGAGGACCCGCAAGTCACAGAAACAAGCTCGGTACCGAGGAACCTCAGCATTCGCATGAGCACGTGCACATCCTTTGTCAGGCAAGTGAGCACCAGCCTACAGCTGAACAGAAACTGCCGACAAAGTAAACGGCCTGATCCTGCCTCTGCCTTGGCCAACTGAGCCACCACTGTTCTAAGTATTTTCTTTCTTTCTGTGGCTGCAAAGCAGGAGGTTGGCAGAGCATCACATGGTACTGTAGCATGTGCTGGCAGGCAGGATAGTCTGGGCAACAGCCCACTTGAGAGCTTAGCACATAGGCTAAAAGGAGTTGTGACAATGCAGGTTTGGAAAGGAAAGCAGGAAATAGACGTCCCTGCTCCTTGTCTGTCAAGCAGCAGTGCAGAAGAAGCTGTCAGTGCTGTGGGTGTCTGTGGCTGCCCCTGCACATCATGCCAGCTCACCTGCGCTTCGGAGAAGGCTGGATCACTCATATGGGGTTTTAGCATATTGCCAAACTTCAGGGCCTCTGCAATGCGATGGTAGGTTTCTACCTTCTCCTCGGATGTTGCCAGTGATGCTTCATGGAGTTTATACTCTATGGAGCAGGATGAAAGAATTTTGTTAATAGAACCAAGGCAATGCTTTTTTAAGAACTGTAAAAAAAACAAAGAGTTGAAAGGAACCTTCTTCTTTATCCCATCTCAGTTTTTATCAAGTTTCCCCTATGCTTTAGCAGGATGTGGACACAGAAACAGCCAAGTACTAATTTCTGCTGTGACTTCAGTTCCTCTTGAAGCCTTAGGGAATCATGTATCCTTTGGCCTTTGCAGCAGCCATGGTGATGCTGATCCACTGTAAGAATGATCCAGTTCATCATCCTGGTGCATAGCACAGTCACACTGCTGCTTTGGGGCCCGTTCTGGCTTGCCAACTCCATTTCTGCCCATTATTTTTCTACTGCTCTAGAGCAACACTCTGCAAATCTCTTGCTCCCCCTTTCCCCTTAGGAATTTACCTTCCAATATCTTGAGGATGAACATGAGCACAGCACCTCCCATGGGTGGTCCAGGAGAAAACACTGTGGTGTGATCGTTCAGGGTAATGTTCAGAGCTGAGGACACCTCTGCTTTGTATGCCTGAAGGTCTTCCAGTGAGATACTGGACCCTTCAACAGAAAACCAGGAGGATAGCTGATATTAGCACATTAACTCCTACTATATCAGGACCTATATCAAGGCTATATCATAGCCTTGGTAAAGCTTGTAAAGAGCCATGCCTGTATATTCCAGATTTCTTCCACCAAGCACAGCAATGTCTTCGTGTGTCCTCATCTACTGCCAAACCCCAGGACATCACAAAGCCTGAGGGGGTCAGAGGCCAGTGCGTGAGCACTGTGGGTGACTGCCCTGCTTCTGTGCCTGAGTTATAAGAACTGGGGAAAGGTGGCCTCTTCCCATGCCAGGTACCAGCCCAAGTGGCAAGCAATTGGCATGTGTTGGCTTTCCCCTGGTACCAACTCACCGTTAGTCAATAGACAGGCCTGAGAAAATGCCTGTCTCTTAGTATTAACTGTTACCTACCAGCCTTCTTAATGTCATCCACCAGGGCCTTTCCTATCTGTCCCTCATAAAATGCTGCAGCTCCATTTTCTGCTACAGCTCTCAGTGTTTGCTGCAGCGCTGGCCACCTGAAAGTCTCTCCATGCTTCAGAAACCTTTGACCGTCACATATCAGTGGGCTGTTAAAGAAGAACATCCATCAGTTTACAGCATGTGCTTATTCTGTCCCCAGGGCCAATCTCTTTTTCCTGCGCAAAGTGGATTTGGTTTATGCATGTTGTGTACTTTCCAAGGCAGTGATACACTGCAGGCTTCAAGGAGAAAAGTTCTTCTCAGCCAATTACTACCCATAGGACCAGGCACTATTCCCCCAGACAAAGTTTCCTCCATAGGACCTAACGCTTTGACTCTGGCTCAGGTCAGTGGGCCTTCTCAAATGAGTGTCTGCTGTAGGGCCCTGCTGTCAGGGTATGATTTCCACACAGATGGAGGCAGGCCACATAAAGCCAGCTCCTCCTCATGAGCAGAGGTGCTTAGCAGACAGTTTTGCTGAGCCAAGCCATGTTAAATTACAAAAAAAAAAAAAGTAGCTGACAGAAAACATTTTTTAAAAAAACCCACTTCTGTTATTCCCTCCCTTTCCACAGCAAGTATTTACTGAGCAGAGGCTGCAGCAGCAGCCTGTGCTCCATGTCAGAGGACATGGCTGAAGCTGAGGGAACAGTGGTCCTCACACTGCAATTTAACTCCTGGGTCTTACCACAGGCTTTTTCCGGGGCCAGAGAAGGCTGGGTGACGGATCATTTTGTCCATAACTGGGGAAATGACAAGTGGCTCTGAAAGGAGCTTGATAGTTGGTTCAAAAAGGGCTTTCCATGGTAAGCGGCCATATCGCTTATGGGCTTCTTCGTACCCACGAAGTTCTCCTGGTACACCAATCCAGCGGGAACCTGAAGAGTAGAATGGTAGTGTCACACCCAGTAAGTCATCAGCCTGTTTCACCTCTCTGAAAGCACTCCAATGGAAGTGTGGATTTGTACAGGTAGGACTAAGGCCTCTGAAAGCAGGTTTGTTGTTTTTTCTTTCCTTTATCTGTTCATATATTTCTTCCACTACCTAACAGAAGAGGTATAGAGAAGCTGGAGCCAGAGGTGCACGGTGAAAGCACAAGAAGCAACAGGCACATGTTGCAGTAAGAGAAAAAGCACTCACGTGGAGCCTGGTCAAATGCCAGAACAAGTGAAGCTGTGAAATTCTCCATCCTTGGAAAAGTTAAAAAATGTGAGGTCCCAAGCAATCTGAGTTAACTCTGACATCACTTTGCTTTGAACAGGAGTTGGAGCAGAGACCTCCAACTGTCCCTTCCAACCAAAGCTGTTCCTGATTGTTTTTTAGGCTCTTCTCCCAAGGATAAAACATCTCCTGCAGGAACTAGGACACACCCCAAAAGAAGGAGAATGAATGCAGCAAAAAATGTGGAGAGATCCAAGATGTGCTGCTAAAGCGAGAGTGCCTGCTGCCGAAGCAATAACAGCAAATGGACATGGAGCTGCCTCGGATAGGAGTGAGGTGGTAGCTGAGCTAAGCTGGAGCCCAGCAACTCAAGTCCCGATGCTGTCGGGTTGCCTCCCCAGCGTAAGAACATGGGCAAGCACACTAGATTGATTTCTTCATTTCCAGAAAGTCTGAGCAGCTATTGACCTTATTTTTCTTTGTAAGAACTACTGGGAAATGAGTGTTTTGGGAAATCTGCTCTTGAAATGCAGTGTTCCTATGAAGAGAAATTCCATAGTGATTTCTCCTCATGCTGTGCTACTCACCCCTTCACTGCTCAGGTTGTCAGTGTTACTACAAAACAGGAATTTCACAGACTTAGCTTTTTTTTTCTTAGTTTTGCAAAAATCAATCCAGAAATAGCACAAGCAATTAAACAGAACTTCAGATAGAGTCAGCAAGGTCCTCAGTTCCCCCACCCTGAGCTTTGTGCACAGCATGCCAGGAGGGCACACAGCCTTCACGGCCCAGTCTGTGACCTTACCGATAAGGAAACGAGCAGAACAGCCAGACAGCAAATTGTGTGGAAACACTCGTGGGACTGTCTCACGGGCATTGATCACCTCCACTGTTCCTAGAAAGGAGAAGGGGGAAATGCATAACGTTGTCTTCCTGAAGCAGGTGAACATCACACGTCAGGCAGCTGTGAGCCCCGCACAGGCTGAGGCTGCTCGCCCCGAGCCCACAGCACTGAGCTGAACTGCCTGAAGCCTTTTGCCAGATGTGTCAAGCACACTGGCAGGGTCAGGCTGCACTTGGCTCATGGCACACGCTGCCATTAGCTCCCATGCTTTTATTTGCCTACAGGCAACAAAGGTACAGGAACAAGTCCAGGGCCAGTCTCCAGCCAGTTAAGGGCTCTTGGGCCTGGGACATGGGCTGGGACGTGCTGCTTCACATCTGATTTGCTGGTTCCTGCACTTCCTCCGCAGGTAGGACACATCAGAGACACATCATGAGGCTCATGCTCCTTGGTGGGCCATCTTCCAAGTAATGGTGAGGCATGTCTAACAAGTTTATAAGCAGAATGACTCTTCACATATCAGGAAGCTTGGAAGGAAAAAACAACAAGAAAAAAACAAACCAAAACCCCCACTTGTACACACTTGTATTTCAGGTCTAGCCTACTATTTTGCCTCCTTCTCTACCCTGTATTTAGCTTTTCCTATCCCAGACCACAGAGCCAGCTGTGCTGCAGGAGCCCACAGTGCTACCTAGGGTAGCAAGCACTGGAGTCATGCGGCTCTGTGCAGCAGGATAATTCAGGTAGCAGAAGAGGGCTGTTGATAGCAAAGTTGCATGGCTCTGCCAAAAGGCAAGAAAGAAAAATATATGTGTTTTGCCAAATTAGGCTATTGCATAAGATACAGCCAAGCATTTCCAGACTCGTGACTCTGTGAGACTACTTGGAAGGGGTTTTAAAACTACAATATTGTTACTGTGTTCATTGTTGATTTTACTATTTAGATTATAAGCTCTGGGGGCTTTTGGGAGCCAAAACACTTTAAAAAACCCATTAAAAACATAAAAGGAAGAACACAACACTAGGGGTTAGGCCAAATACAGAAAGACTTCCCAGCAGGCCCTGAACATTGTTAGATTTAGATTTCTGAAGTGAAGATGCATCTCCTGGGACAGGAAGCCTCACCGCCGCTTTGGGGAGCCCTACCCGTGCCAGCGAGGGCAGCCTGAGACGCAGCCCCCCCCATGCCGGCAGGCACTGCCTGGGCTGCTGGGGCAGGACGAGCGCTTGCAGTCCCAGCCCAGGGGCTCAGCTGAGCCAGCAACAGCCTCATATTGCTGTGCTCTTTGCCAGCCCACAGGCCTCACTCTCTCCCACCTGCCTCCACAGCAGCCCAGTGGCAGCTCGGACAGCACCGCTCACGCCTTGCTGCACTGTCAGCTATGTGACTGAAATGTAATTCGGGATCGCTTTGGAGGGGGAAGGAGAGGCAAAGTCAGTTCATTTTAAATCCAAAGCTCCTTTCCCCCCCAACACATCTTTGCTGTGAAAAGGTGCACTCCCTGCAACAGGTGGTTTGGGTTAAGAGCAAAAGCATGGTTTGTGACCAGAGGATGCAGCTTTCATATTCAAAAAATTGCTCTGAGAGAACATGAAGGATTCTGGCTTCTCCACAGCAGCTGGGTGTCTGGAAGGAGATGAGGCACCATGGAGAGGCCAGGGCTGGCCCATACCTGTGCTGGCATTATAGATGGTAAATACGACCCCACCACCCAGGCCCGAACTCTGAGGGTTCATCACAGAAGTGCAGATCAAGCCAGCAATGGCAGCATCCACAGCTGTGCCTCCGCTTTTCAGGATGTCCCTGTGGTGGAAAGGGAGGAAAAAAGACAATATTAAAATCCAGAAATGACAGAATGGAGGAGCCACATGAAAATATCTCCCTGGGGCACTTGCAAGACAGCCCCAGCTTGACAAGAGCAGCTAGCAGTTGGAGAAAGCTACTGGCAGCAGTGTGCAGTGTGAAAACCACAGAAAGGCACCTTCTTTTGTGGGAGTGAGAAAGAAAAAATAGTAGAAAAGAAGGGAGAGTCTGCAGGAGAAAAGAGCAGCCAGGGGCCAGATCTGTGCAAGGCTGGTCTTCCTCTGGGCAAAGAGTGATGGGACAGAGAGAACTGCAGCTGCTTGTAAATGCTGTTGACAAAAAGGGACAGCAAGGAGCTCCCAGACATGGAGGAGGATGCTCTCGGCAGAGGAGAGAGCTTTCCACATGCTGGGAAACAAAGAACTGATTTCTAGTTCCCCACCCATTCCCAATAAAAAGGCATATTCTGGTCAACAGGACAGGGACACTGAAGCAGGAACGATGTGTCCATGCAAAGCAAACTACTGAGACTTAACGTGTCAATGAGCACAAAACTCAGGCCTTACTTCATGGCTCCTGCAATGTGACCTCCTGGTTTTGTGTGATGCCGGCACAAAAACTGCACCCCCTCCCTGTATCCCCAGAGGCAAACCAAACAAACAAACGGGGGAAAAACCCTTCAATTCTTAGAACACACAGGTATTAAGGCAGCCTCATGGTGCTGACAGCAATGAGTTTCTGCTAGAGAAACGGGTCTCAACACATGGTTCCCTCAAGCACAGCCGCAGACAAATCTTTTCCTTGCAGCGCAAACGCGGTGGGGTGGGGTTTCCTTGCACAGCCTGTCAGCAGCCAGCACTGGTATTTGCTAAGATGGTTTCTGACTGTTTGGACTGGGATATTGCTTAGATAACGCACAGCCAGAAGGGAAAGTGGAATAATTAATTAAGTGAAGTGCAACTGCTCCCAGAGGCTACGACAGGAACAGAGAGCACGTATAGGGACTGCTGTTTATTTTACATCCACTGATGTGGCTGGGACCTGCTGGGGCTGGGAACAGGATGCTGCCAGCAGGCACACTGATTGTGGCTTTCCTTTGTTTCTGTAAGTGCCTTTGGAACCACTGCCTGTAAGGAAATGGAATGTGGGCAACTGGGGAGAAAAGAAATGGTAGGGAACCACCGGGCTTTCTGTTTGGAGTCTGCATGACTATTAGCCTCCTAGCAGCAAGCTGCTCCCTGACTGTAGCGCTGAAAATGGAGACAGAGGCTCAGGCTCACCCATGCATCTTGCAGCAGGGGGTAAGACTCACACCACACAAATCTCCCCAGGTGGTGTTTTTCTGAAACTGAAGCCTTTTATTTGTTAAGAATAGAAGGGAAGGACATGAGGGCTTCATGAGAGAGCATGTTCGAATGTTGGGGAAAGAGGAGAGAAGGACCACTACACTGGCCCAGGACAGGGCTCCCCAGAACCCCTGAATTATGGACTATGGGGCAGTGCATGCACAAAGCCTGGTGCCAAGGAAAACCATGGTTCCAAGATAATTTGCAGTGAAAAACAACTTTAAAAAGAAACTTTGAGATTGTATGCAGTGCATTAAGACCTTAACGTGGAACATTAGACATGTTTTCCCAAAGTCTGAAAAGCACTAGATTCTCACCTAGGTTCCCAGCCACATTCTCAGTTGTGTAAGTCATTGCACATCTTGCACTACCTCTTGTGCCTGGACCCTCCTGCACTCTCCTTCTGAAGCCAGACACCCCTCACCATGTCCCCAGAAACACTTGTTCCTGGAGGAGCACTCCCTGATGAAGATCCTCATCCCTTCTTGTGTCATCTGGTGGTGGTCATCTATCTGCCCCAAAAGATGAGCTGTTCCCCCACCATCACTGATCTGCACCAAGCCAGCATGCTCTGCACTGGAACTGCATCAACTTAGTATGCTCTAAAGGATGACCACAGGTTTTCAATTTATTAATTTAATATTTGTACACCTAGATGGCCTGTTTCTGGATGATGCTAAGACTTTTTGGTGTTCCCATGTACTTGTTCATAAAAGTGACATTGTGGGCTAAACACACTTTAACTATGGCAAATGTAGTGTCATATGCACAAAGCATAGAAACCTGAGAGCTTCTTAGCATGAGCTTATCCATGCTCCCTCCCTCCAACACTCCCTGTTAGACATAGAGCCAGGATAACACAAGCCATGTAAACTCCAGTTTGTAGCTGTGCCCTTGGCTCCCACTGAGAACAGGGAGGACAAATGAGGGCTCAGTCTCAGCAGAAAGGGTGTGTCTAACTGCTAAAGAGAGCAGCAAACTTCAGGGAGCTGAGACCTGCACTGTTACTGCCACTGGCAAAAGGGACACTGATTTCCTGAGAGCATCAGTAACAAGTGGGAGGAGGACATTCACTGGCCAGTGGAGAGGCCTTCAGCAGCGCTGCCGGGGTGGACACATCCTGCCTGGCATGGCCGAGGTAAATCAAGTGCTTATTTGTGAGCACTGATTACTCCAGCCTGCTAGTCCACCCAGTAGTTTTCAGATGGGCCATGTCCAAGACACTGATACTGTGTGTGTACCTCAGGAAGGCAGGAAAGCCAGAAATAGTCTATTGTTCCTGCTCTGTGCCTAGCACAGTGGTGCCCTGATTCTTGGCTGAGACTCCTTGGTGTTAACACAATATAGAGCAAAAGTAACACCAGCAGCCAACACAGGGACACGTTTTCACAAGAAAAATAAAGCATGTTTTGCTTTGTTCTTGGTTCCCAGCACTTATTAATCACATTTTGCAATATAAATAAGATTACAAGAAAACTAGAATTTCCAGATCATCCAAAAGTGCTTTCCATTCCTGTCTACTGTGTCTATATTGGTGGCCTCACCTCTGGTGGCAAATGCCACATCTAACAACACACAGTCAGACCTGTTTCCTGGGAAGGAGGGCTTTCCAGTTGCCTGCTGCCTTTCAGTGAGCACCATAGGATGGAAAGCTGAGGCTTTCCAGCCACTAGCACGGTGGGCAGCATCTGAGACCATCTTCATATGGGATGGGCTGTGTGATGCTGGGCACAGTCCTTTGCCTATTGCTTCTTTGGGGGACAGGGGTTAGGGGAAAGGGGAGCTGAGATTTCTCCCCAAAACTGGGCATTATCTTGGCTCTTCCCAGCCTGGCAGGAAGCAGTCCCAGCCCCAGGTCTCACAAACACATCTTGGAGGGCTCGCACACTGATGTTATTTCCCTGGCTCTGTTGGGGGTGCATGTGCCTGCCAAGTTTTTCACTTGCACCCCAGCACAGGGGGCGTGCCATGACACAGGACAGGCACAGCAGTAGGTAAGGAAAAATAAGCCTTACAGTCCGGCTTGTAGCTCAGCTCAGAAACAACTGAACCTAGCAAAGGTAAAACCAAATCTTGACCAGGGTTATTAATAAGATTTCTTTCGAGCTGCTTTGCTCTTTTACCCAGGAGGCCTGATATGATTTCAGCCCTGATATGATTCCCACAACCATCAGTGTGGGGCCCTGGGCCACAGCCATTCTATGCTATCTGCAGAGTGGGCACAGTCTCAACAGCTTTCCCTCCAGCCTCTCTGGAGACTGAAACACAACAAAAACTACTCTCTGAAATGGCTCTTGGTATATCACACTTGGGTCGCCATGCCTGGCTCACCTGCTTTTAGCCAGAGCCCTGCCATTTCCTTGGAAGTGATGCCTTGGGAATTTAGGGCCATTCTGTCTTTCTCATCTAGCTAGACTGGCAGAGTACACCCTGTCCCGTTGGGTTGCTCCCTTTACAAGGCTCACTGCTACAACTAGCTTAAGTAGAATGCAAAACCCTGGAAAGAAACATGACCCCTTAATCAAAGTGTGGTACCTTACCAGGTCTCTAGAGATATCTTAGTGCTACAGCTGACAAGATCTGATAACAACATGTTTTGTCCTATATCCTTCCTGCCACTTAGTTTCAGCTTTATGGTTTGACCATTAATGGAGTTTTGTTAAAGTCAGGAGCAGAAGAGTATGTTAACAACCAAATCCCACTCCAGCAGTAGCAAAACAGGGATTCACCCTCCCAGGAACGGTGAATGACATGCAAGTCCTCACAGCAATGACGGGCTGTGCTCAGCTGCAGACCAAGTCTGGTCTTCTGCCGTGGGTTAGAAGGACCCCTGAAGCCATTTTAAATACACTGGAAATGTTAAGGTATTAAATTATATTGACTTTTTTTTTTTTTTCTGCTAAAGAAAGCTGCCTGCTTAAGATTTATGAAGAACAAAAGCAACAGCTGTTTCTGTTAAAAAGGGCCAGTTGCCAAATTTAAAACTGTTAAAATACAAGAAGAAGGCAAGGCAAGTCCTTTGGGATAGAAACATTCATCAGAAATGCTGTTGGGCTATCACTAAAAAAGGTTTTTGCAGCAGATTCTCTGCCTAGAACTGAACTTCCCAGGACCGCAGACATTTTCTGACTGTTAAGTTCTCACCGTTCTCATCCTCCCCACCACCCTGACCCCAGGCGGGTGTTTCAGAAAAGCCAGTTCCCAGGGTTTATGCTAGGCTACACTGGAGAGGCAGGATCAGCAATGGCTGCTGGGCCAGGTCAGGTCAGCTCGTCTTGCTGCAGTGAATCCCATCGCTGGGAACAAGCACTTTTCCTAAATCTCTCCCTGGCTTTATGCTGGCTCTCACTTCTGCCATTTGGGAAACAAACAGATGCAGAGCAGGGGATGGCAGAGCTTAAACAGCACATTGACAGGGAATATAAAGTTTTTCCTTGCTTGATGGAAAAAGCCTTTTCCATTGCCAGGAGGGAACAAGAGGCTCAGAGCTGGAAGTGAAGGTGGGTTTGTGTACCACTCGCTTCCAGGGCAATCACCTCCTGTCTCCTCATGGCTTCTTGATATGAGGACAAATTACTGAGGTGGACTTTGGTACCAAATCCAAATCCCTGGGTTAAAAATTGCTCTGACTCTCCTTTTAGCCTCCAGTACCTCTTTATTAAAATGTTTCGCCTTATTCAGGGACAAGGTTTTTTTTCAGCACAGGGCCCCTGTCTGGACCAGACAGTCCCCAGTCTTCAGCAGTAAAATCATTCACAGCAAAAGACACAACCTTTTTCAGCACTTAGAACCGGGTGCTGATGGCTAAGAGCGAGTCTCACACAGGACCTGCCAGCAAGGATGACAGCACACTGGAGGCTTGCTGAGGTTGCTCATTTTCTGCAGGGAGCCAAAGCGTTGCATAAAGATTTCAGAAAGTCCAACCTTACACAGCCCCAGAATATATGAACACCATCTCCAGAGCTGGAAAACCCAAGCCTGAAAATAACAGTTGAGCACAATTGGAAAAAAAGAGCAGCAAACAGGGGCTGTGAGTCTGTCCCCCACCTCCTGCTTGTGCTACCAAATTAGAGCCACACGGTTCCTTCACTGACCCTTCCTTCACAGCTGAGATATCAGTGAGGGAAACACAAGGGCCCTGAGGGGTTTTCCTCAAGACAAGATTACTCTTTGGGCAAGAGGTTCGGTTCAGTTATTCTCAATAAGTTCAGCTGAAAATTAGGAGCACACAAAGACCCTGTCTTAAACAACAGCATCTTAAACCAGTGCAGTATCATGTAATGCCCCAGGAATTTCATTACTGCTAATGACAACTCACAGAGCATGTGGCTTGAGTTTCCTTTTTTTAAAGGAAACAAGACTTTTAAATTAAATAATAGAATTAATACATAGGTCAGAGATTAGGTGCTGCTTTTAGCTTCCAAGACTTTTAGTAACAGACCAGTGCAACTGGTTTCATGCCCACCCTACACTGGAGGTTCTCCCAGCGTCCCCCGCATGGGTTCCCAGGAGCTCAGGGAGGATTTGCAGGATGAAATCCAGGGTGCAGTGCAAGGTTCCCTCAGAGAGAGGGTCTGCGGGGTCAGTGGGGGAGAGCAGGGACAAACCTGCACTGTTGAATCTCTGTGGTGTGCCTTTAGGCACTGGTTGCAATGACTCCTGCTCTCACCAGTGGGGTGAGCTGGCAGGCTGACAGGTTCCATAACAACATGTGGGTTTCATTTGATTGCAGCTTTACTATACTCAAGCCACCAAGATTTTTTTTTTCCATGATGCTGGAGGTCACTCTTTTCCTTTTTTGTATGTTTCCAATAAAAGCATTGAGCAATTACCAAAAAATTAAACTAAGGAAATTTGTTGGTTTACCTTATTTCACGTTTTAAACTTCTATAGAAAATTTGTTAGGAGGCTTTGCAGTATGCAGGTACAAAGCCAGAGATGTAGTCTGCCTCCAGTTCAAACAATTCACTCTAATTTGTCCAAGGTGTTTGCTTTGGGGGAAAAAAAATAAAACTAAAGCTGATAATGAAAAATTTTGATCATATTGATCATGTATTCATGTGGGGGTTTTTTACTTATTTTTATATATACCAAAATGCATATGTGTGTGGTCATCAATGAATTAACCAGTTTTGGCAGATTAATTCTATTGTGATTTCTAAGGAAGGATATTGGAAATGAGCCGTTCCAACCCTGAGCTGCCTAGGCTGAGCGCAGCTTCGTTGAAAAAACTGCATCTGGTAACAGCCATGGCTTTGCGGCACAGATAAAACAAGGAAATTATTATCCTTGTGCTCCCCAGGCTGGACCACGAGCAAAGAGAGTGGCCACGTCCTGCCTCACAGAGGAGATGGGAGAGGAATTGAGGTGACTGAGCAGTTTGGGAGCAGGGAGGTGGGTGGTGGTGGTGTGTTGTAGGATGAGAAGACCAGAAGTGGTGACTACACAGGTTCAAACACCAGCACAGGAAGACGGGTACATGTGAGAAGGAGCAGTCACATTGCTGGGGCACAAGGCAGCAATCAGGCAGAACAGAGAGAGCGGCAGCAGGGCCCAGCAGGGACTCGGAAGCAGCAGTACAAGCCCCAGCTCTTGCACCATTGGGATCTTGCCATTCATGATTGCTCGCCTAACTCCTCAACTCTTTGCAGAATCCCAAGTCCAAAAAGCCAGTGTAAAAATTTGCAAGTATTTGCATAACTGCAGAAAAAGAGTGAAGATCTACATACAGTACTTACTAAGAAACAGAAAACACCAAGATTAATTATTTCTTCTTGTTTCCTCTCTCAAGTCTCATGAATTTATTTTTGAACAGAAGAAGTCAACAGTACTGTTGTAATCTCAAAAACACTCAGCGGACTGGCTGGGCAGTATCTGGGAATGAGTTAGGGTTGTGCATCGAGGGATGCTTGGCTTTGACCAACTCTTGCTTTGTTGCTGAATTTAAGTGGCAAATGAAGTGGCAGCTCCCAGGTGGAGACAACAGGGCCTAATGGCTAAGACTACTCTGAGAAACTGGACTTTATTGCTACTGTTGTGACAAAATCCCTATGTGATACTAAAATCTTGTTCAGCAAAGATCAGGCAGGAGCCTGCTGTATGCTCTTCAGCTCCAGACATTCCCATCAAGACCTCTGGGTCAGGCTTAAGGAAGCCCTCACCCTGCAGAGCCACACAGGGGGTCAGTGCGAGATGTACCCTGAGCAGCACAGATTGTTCTGAAAGGCAGAGACCCTGGTCAAAGTGGCTCTGATGTGGCATCCACACAGTGTAACCGCCATGCTAGACTTCCTTATTTATACCGGTGAGATAACATCATTTTCTCACTTTGCAGATTACTGAGAATTAATTTAGTAGTGACTATCATGTGCTAATAGCTAAGAGCTAGAATGTAACATACTGATATAACACCACAGAAATGTCTGGGAGAAAATGAACACGATCACAAGCAGTACAGTGCGCGCAGTGAGCTTCCTCTGAAGAAAAAACGTTCCTTCCTTACAAACTGCCACTGTGGGCCAGTGGGGACAAAGAGAGAAATACAACAATCACAAAGAAAAGAGCAAACACTATACAAAGCTTCTGATCGCAAGCTCTGTTGCAGAGGAACATTTTTATAAACAGTTTTATTATGATTAATTGTTAGAACATGTGCAGATAGCTCAAGCTGGGAGAAGAACACAGGAGTTTGTTTCATTTCAAGTATAAGGGCAGCACGAAATAAGCACAAAGGTTTCCAAGAATGGCTGAAGGCAAAGGATACTGGGAAAAGCAGCAGACAGCATGCATCAGTAGGAGAGCAGAGCTAACCACTAGGCAGAGGTAAGTGGTGCAGAGCCAAGGAGAAGGAGGAGGACAGTCTTGGCTGGGAGATGCAGGGGCTTGGCAGGGCTGGGGGAGAGACACGATACATTTGGAGCAGCAGGACGTGATGTGCAGATGCTCCAGGCTGGGGAAAAAGGGGGATAATATGCGATGGGAAGTTGGGACAAAGGCAGATTTTTGTGGGGATCATTGGCAAACTATTTGTAGGGAAGCTAAGGTGGTCTGTCAGGCTGGAGAGACACCACAGACCTTGTCAGCAAGTGTGCTGGAGGAACAGCTACAGCAGTGGTTGAGGTTATGGAAGCAGGTGGAGCTTCTTGTGGAGAGAAGGGAAGGAAACAGATGACAGCCCAGCAGCAGTAGCCAAAGCTTCTCAGTTGTCAACCTGATCACACATTTCTGTGGCTCTTGCTTCAGTGCCTTCCAGTTCATGCTACACTACTTCAAGTTAAAAATTACAATAGCTGCAAAACAAGTGCTGTGGTTTTCCCAGCAGATTATTTGGGTAATCCAGTAATCTATTTTCCTCTATTTCCATTAGTACTGATTAAAAGATATTTCTTTTGTCCTCTGAAGAACTAACATGTGGCTTGCTTAGCATAAAACCCACATCTCATTCCTTGACATATGTGCAGCCACACACCTCCTCCAACTACTCACAAATGCCACACATCATTGGACATCACTGCAAGAACCACACATGTGACATGGCAAGGTGTCATGGCACCACACCTTATGTCACTCTTCCAGCCACAGGGTAGAGCACACAGCCAGCACTGCAGGTAGCTTGTGAAGTTCCATCCTTCTACTTTCATATATACAAGTGTTTAAGAATTGAAGTTAACAGTAAAATAATAACATAAGATGCAAAAACTCTGAGTTGTTACACAAACTGAAGTGTTACAACCTGGGCAGCTAGAGAACTTTTTAAACCTACATCTTTCCTTCCAAGTGACGCAAGTATGCCTTTTGTACTTATATTGTCTTGGCTGAACTTTGGTTAAATCTGCTCTTTGCTTTCCAATAGAGTGTCTCGCTTCATACAAACACACGGGCTGCAGGCTTCAGTCTGGAAACACACACCCCAGAGGCTGAGATGCCCATTCCCCCTTACCCTCCCAGCCTGCCTGCCTTGCCTCTGCTGAAGCTCGGCTGCAGCTTTCTGCTAGCTCCTCTCACTTCTTCTTTAATTTATTTCTAAGTTACTTAGCTGACAGACTTACCACCATGACACAAACAGTTAATTTCCTGCTTTCCCACTTAAAAACAATCTTGTATTTGTATACTATAAATATTTGTATCTTCCAAAGGGCTATGGGTTTGCAGAGCTGCACATTTTTGTGTCACAGGATAATGATAATAAGAATCAACTGCAGAGGCAGGGCTCATCTGCTCTCAGCTGCTCCACTGCCGATGGAGAGCTCCCAGAGAGCAGCAGTGCTGCTCAGCCCCAGAAGCGGGGCCAGGACAGAAACCCATCTCACTCCCGTAGTTACGTGTCCTGTCTGTCAGTCTGAGCCCACGACACATGCGACATGTAACCTGAAAAACCAAGAGGTCCTGCACGTACCGGGCGATGACGGAGCAGGTCTCGGTGTCAGCAGCCACGGCCCCATGCAGGTAGTGCTGAGGACCGCACCTGGGCTGCGTCAGGATGACCACGAGCACAACAACCACCGCCAGCACCCCCAGGGTCAGCAGCACCAGACAACAGACCTTCCCCGTGGACATGTCTTAGTCCTACGCTGTCGGAAGCGGCTGACGGCTTTTACTCCTTTTGCGAAGGCGCCTGCTTTGCTCAGGGTGAAAGTAGAGGATCCCGGCAGTTTGGGGAGGGAGGTCTCGCTGAAGTGGGCTCTGCCCCCTGCGACTGAGAATTACATTCTTTTTAAGATTAAAATTTGTTAAAAAGGAAATGGTGTACTCTTTCTTTCCTCCTCTCTTACACATGAGAGGCTTCTCACTCTCTTATAAAGTAAACTTTTTCTGGCATATGCCTTTTTTTTTTTTTTTTTTTTTTTTTAAGTATCTGATGAAAACATTTAACACATTCACTGCTGGAGCACTTCAAAGTGAAATCTTTACGCTGCTTACTGGCTTCACACAACCTCCCTGTCTTCACATAGAGGAAATTACTAAACAAAGGCATCCTACATGGTGAATCACTGGGAAAATTACAACATCAATCCTACACTGCAAACTTGAGGTATTTTCTTTGCATAAGACTACTCAAAGAAGGAAAAGCTAAATACAAAATATAAAGCTGGAACCTTCATATTTACTCTTACTTTTCCTTATATTTCATTATAATCTTGCTTATTTACTTTTTTCCTCATTAAATCTTGCCAGTGTCCACACCTGCAAAGAAGCATAATGGAATACCTCGAATAAAGCAGCACACCTCTGTACTTCTGCAAAACATCACAGCTAAAAGATCGGGGATCCAGCCTGTATTGCTGAGTAACCACAGCACCCAGGAAGGGAACGGCTGCTAAGGCCAAACCTGGTTCTTAACAGAGCCGCGATGAACAGCATGAATTGCTGCACAGTGCACCGGGCTCCAGCTAGCTCCTTAAAACCCTCTTAATTATGCAGTTCTTCTTGCACTTAAAAAATTAAAAATATGGTTCCACATCTGTCTGCTGTCTTTCTGAAGATTTGGAGAAGGGGAATTCACCTGTGTAGATTTACACCTGTATTTCACTACAGACTTTGAATTTGCACTTTATCTCATAGCTAAGTAATACTATTTCATGTATCATATCTGAAGAAATTAATTTGATAGACTAGACTGTTTTTTTGTAGTTGTATCTTCCCGTAAGGTTATCTTGGGGAAGTGACAGTAGTCCAAGAAAAATATACGGTTTTGTCCAAGATAAAAGCACGATCCCTGGGGAATAATTTCTTGGTCTCCACATCTCTGTCTGACTTGGCAAATATACTTGGAATGTATAACAGGCCTCCACAGCTCTAATGTGACTCTTCATTTCACTCCATTGCAAAACCTTGCTGATCTTGTAAAATTTCTCAATCCCTACATAACTTTCATGTTTCATTTTTGACAAATTATTCTATAAAACTTAAAGAAGCATCATTCTAGTGTTTTCCTGGAAAGCTCTTCCCTGTAAATTCATATCAGGGCTGGAAACCCTGACCATTCAGTACCAATAGACAAGGATCAAGTGGATTTTGCCCATTTGTTTTCATCAAATGCCATGGAGAATTCAGCTGCAGTCTCCAAATTTCCATCAAATTTGGTTTTCCATTCTGCACATCAAACATCTGTATCTGGAAAATTGCCCTTGCACTGCCAAGGAGGAGACCTGACAGAGGCAAGAAAGGTAAGAGAGAGTGTCATCTACCAGACCGTGTCTGGGAAGACCAAGACAGGGTTATGATTTACTACAACTAACAGCTGCCTCCCATAGGCAAACCCATTTGTCTTTTAGAAACATAAATGAAATCTGAGCCTCCTTCTCCTCTTTCCATGTGTAACCTTTATAGTCTCGTTGGCGCAACACTTAATTTTGACCATATTATGCTACAGTCTGCACTGACCGTCCCATGTGAGAGGCTGCTTAGCTGTTCACATGATGGGGCTCAGGACTGTGACCTTTATTTGTATGTTTGTTTGTTTCTCAAAACTTTCACATTTATCATCATTGTTTGGGAGCACAGTTTGCCTTGGCCCAAATTTCCACACATAGCACTTCGCTGCAAGGACTCTCTGGTCCTCCGCTCTGAGCATGAAGGGTTTTGTATGCCGCATAAAAAGAAGCTCAGGTATTTAAAGACCCTTACAGGCCAAGCTACACTCAAGGAGATTTTAATTAGAATTATTAACAGAATCACCATTTATTAACTAATAAACAGGCACTGTATCCTTAAATTGTCCTTTATATTGTTGGGGTCCTGTGTACATTTTTTTCAAAATCTTCAACCAAGAGACCAGATTCAAAAATTATTTAACATCAGAAGTACAGGCTGATGTGATCATGAACACCACATCTTCCTTATGGAGGGTAAGAAATCATCAAGTGATAGATATCCTCAGATATTAAGAGCAGAGCTTAAATACTAAGTGAAGGAGTTGGGAAGAAATTCCCCTTGCAGGTAAGTTATTGCGGAGGTACTGAAAAGTCTCAGCCAATGGGCTGAGTTAGTGGGGAGAGTAGATGGGGCAGTTAGTCTAATCCCATCATCTAGGGACCAAAGGGACCAGGGTGGACTCTGGAGGCACCAGGAGCTTCTCCTTCAGCATTACAGGGGACAGCGTGCACCTTTGCTTGTTTTGGCAGTGGTATAATGCACTAAGCCATTGTAATTTTACATCAAGCTTCAACAAGTTCTTGACACAGTGAGCTACCATCTGTAGAGCCTGCTTCTCTGACAGTGAAGCTGGTTTCAGATGATGATTGGTATCAGGCATGTTTGAGGAAAAGAAAACTATTTGCTGGTTGAAAGCCAGCCCTCATAAGTGGCCTCAGGATCCTGGAGGTGAGGAGACAATTGCAAAAAGCACCAGCATCTACACATGCTGTATGTGTGCTTTTCATTCAGCAGAATAAAGTTGGAGATGCAAGTCAAGGAGCCATCTTCTGAGAAGATGGAGACCTCAATGCTAAAGCAGGATTAATTACAGTCCATGGCCAGAGTAAAGAAAACCAGGTTGCTGCCTTGTCTGCAGCAAGAGAGTAGGTTTGTGGCATGACCGTTTCAAGCACTGTATTTTCTCCATGCATTCTTTTCTTCAGTGCTGCTTTCCATTGATTGAGGGTAAAAGAACATCATTGGACAGAAAGCCAGACATTTCTACTCAGAAAAGAAAAGCTGACTAAGATATTGACTCTCAATTTACCACTCTTAATCTTGTTTTTTAAGATTATAAACTGAAAGAACCCTAAATACACACCAAACTCATAAGGCATTCTCATGTTAGTATCCTAAACATCCTCCTTTGCCTTTGTCTTTACACTGTCCAAATTACATTGTAACATACTCAAAAGGATGGCTCTTTCTGCTGGTGTTTGCTTGAAGAGCACTACCTACAGTCACCAAGCTCTTTTTGTAATAAATAAGAAGTGCATTTTGCACTTCCCAACTCTAAATTAAGTTTAAACCATTGGACGTCTATGAAAGTTTCTAGGAAAGTTTCCAAGAACATGCAACCAAAAGCCAAACTGGCTGTGTTGCATATACCATTCAGCTCCTCCACCAGTCATGTTTATTTATAACCCAGGAATATCAGTTGTCTCTATACAATAATCAAATTATAAAAACAAAGGCAACATGCTGGGAATTCATTGCTCACATCTTCTAAGAGACTAAGGCTGTGAGTTGCACAGCCATTGGTGTTTATGATCCATTTGTCTCAGTACAAGTTTTCAGAAACTGAGAAACACTAACCTCCTCTATTGAGGGCTATGGGCTTGCTCCCACAAAAAATCAAGTTTGTATAGTTTTCAGACATATGGAAAAACAGATACTCAGAAAACGGAAATTCTGGTATTGAAGAACTTCACATTCATGTCTCTTTCCGTGTTATTTCTCAGAATTCATGATGAAAGTTAAATCTGTAAACGCCTCTGACGCATGAAAACCAAATTGTCTTTTGTTCCTGATTTTGTTATCGAAATCAGAAAAGGGAAGCATGCTCTAGAATTCCTCATGGCTTTTCGGTTTTCCTGTTAACTTCGAAGCATTCCAGAGAACAGCTCTCTTGGTTCTAGCTGATAAGCTTGGTGGTACTTCATCTCAAGTCTTGAAAACACACTTCTGGCTGCAGCTGTAATGGTTAAACAGATTCCTCCTACAAGCCCTGACAGGGTTTGAGGGTGATCACAATCAGTCCATGTGTTAGGAGTGCAGCAGGGCTGAGATGGATGACTGAGCTGGGGCAAATCTACATCCTGGAGGGGACATGTATCAACAGTCCAACACTACTCTGGCACTATTTTCATCAGCCACCCAAACTTTCAGTTTCCCACTGTGAGGGATCTTTCTTTGTGGGCTGCAAGAATGAGCTAAGGGAAAGTACTTGAACAGGACAGTCACAGGACATGCACCATTTCTCACATCACTGGGAAAAAAAAAAAAAAAAAAAAGACCCAGCAGAATCTCAGGGACTCCCATATCTTTGCTGAATTTTCCTAGGTTAAAGGCAGAGCTGCTGCCTCCTTCTTTCTTTCCTGCTGGTTACAAAGAAATGACTGAAAGAAATGCTCTGCCAAACCCAAACCTAAACATCCTCTATTCTATAGTTCAATCAACATATTGAAAGTCAATTATTTGCATGGCTATCCTTGTTGGGACACATGGCACAGACCACTGCCCAAGGGAAACTATTCTCCATTAACTTTATTTGATGGGTATATCCAGGATGTGCAGTTTACTGCACAGCGTCAGCATTTTATTCTTTCTATAACAGTGCCGCTGTGCTTGAGACTAGATTAACAGTGAAACCTTCCGATTCAGTCTTTAACTCTTGAGTGCTCTTCTGGAGCAAATCCAGCAGTTTTCTCAAAGACTAAACCTCATTAGTACAATTACTATAGCAGCTGAAAGTTTGGACACTAGAAAACAAAAGGGAGCCTTGTGTACATCCAAAGACACCAACAGTAAACTCTGCCTGAACCCTGTATTGACTAAAGTAGGCCAAAGTATTATGGTAGCAACCCCAAAGGGTATCTGTGGAGGGTTTTAACTCAATGAAAGTACTAAACTAACTGCAAACATTAAATATAACATACTTATAGCTAAATGCACATGTACCTGTATGTAACAACCTATACACCTGCCATCATATGCTTTGTAAGATCTCTCAGTGAGTCACACTCAGTGGAATAATGGTTCGCTGCCGTGCTCAGTTCAAGAGCTGCCCTGAGTGGGTTTTGCTCACCGGGTCTTGTGCAGCCTGGAGGTCCCTTGGTCTGCACA